TTCATATAATGTATATAATAATATATATAATGTAAATATATGATGTATATAATAATGAGTCCTCTGACCAGCAGTCAGTGACATGCACACTGTATCTGTTAATTAATGTGTACAACAGACTTTAAAATTAACAATTACTGTTATTTTCCATAGGCCTCAACGCCAAGAAATGAAAGTCAGATGAAAACAAGCAATTCTCAAATGCTCTTAACTGTTTTCCTTGGTATGTTCTAGTGCCACGACCTAGGTGCTTATTATAACCAGGGCAGAACCACCTGCACTCGCATTATTCCACTATAAAGCTGCAGCAAAGTTGTAGCTTCTTAGCACAGAATCTCCACAGCGTGCACACACACGGGCCATACATGGACCGCTGGTCAGCAAAAGGGGTCTGAGAGAAATCTCTAGTGGAAAAGGGAGTTATACTTACTGATATATCTTCTCAAGACATTTTCTATCTGTTTTTGCTGGAATCTTCCTTTGATTACAAGTTGGTTGTTACCATCTATTGAGCCACTAATTTAAAAGAAAAATTAAGTGCATTAAGGAAGATAATGATGCATTCTTCAAGATAAGAGTAAGCCAAAATTACTTTGTGGAAAGAAAATACGCAAAATTCTGAAGGCACTTAAAAACCTACAGGAAGTTTTGCCCAGGCATAACCCCCACTGCAGTAAAAGCAAACTCCAGCAGAGATCATCCTCATAGTTAAGATACTGAGTCAGAAGAGCTTTACAGAACTGAGAATTAACACCTGCTTATCTCACCTAAGTGACCAAGACAACTACCTAGTTATGGTGTAATATGACTAACAAGATCCTCTTCTAGCCATTCTGATGTAGCAAGTTGAATGTTTTTTCACATTATGGTTTCTAAGTTTAAGTCGTCTGGAGCTGAAGAGACTCCAAAGCCCAATCAAATGGGCATCTGTTATATACACACTGCGGTTAGACTCCTTGATTCTCTCTGTCTACATGTAACAACATTGTAGTCTACACCAGAGAATGAACAGACAAGCAGATGTATACCACCACAGCATGAGATCTTCAATAAGAGGCATATAAAATCCACACTGCTTTTACACTAAGACAGGTGGATTTAACTGCAGCATTAGACAGAATAACTAGCTACAGGCTCACAAGACTTGCCACTAGGCAGTCAGGCCTCTTCCCTAGCTGCCCATCACCTGCCTTAGGCTGACACAAGCCACAGAGCCATCCTCACCGACTGTGACAAACAGCTCTGCTGTCAGGGCATCTTGGAGAAAGCTCCCAAATAGGGAATTCAAACCCTTATCCAAACTGTTCCCTGGGACTTATAGTTTGCCTCTGTACCTCTTCCCTATGATGGTATCTCTTCAATCACCCAGCACAGCACCTGCACGCAGGGAAGAGCAGCCTGATGTTCAAGCACATATAGACAGACCTAAGCCCAAGAATTTTGGTTTTTGATCGGACAACAACTACGTTGCCATTGCTTCCTACATGCACAAGCACACACATAGCCCAGTAGCCTTACCTTGTACCCAATTCTGCCAACAAAAACGCCAGGAGATGTTTTGGCTGACGATGTAATCTAAAAATAAAAGTAAGAATATGTTTAACCTTCCCCCTTCAGAGAAATTTGATATTTATACAGGACTGGCAGACTAAAACGATCTTAAATTACCAAGTTTAAAAGGGGGCAGTGTCCCAGGGTCTGCACCAAAGAGCACAGGCAGACAATGACTGAGGGCACAAGAAAGCTGAGCAGTCCACAAAAAAGCCCCACTATCCCCCCCAATCCAAACTCACAATTACAGTAACTATTGAAAAAAGTTTTCTATTTGAGATTTTCCATTCTTATTCTCCCATCCCCCTGCCATTCCCTGAATCAAGTGTTACTAGCTACCATTAAAAACTCACTTCAGTATACTACCTGGATCCTTAGTATGATTTCATCAGGACTGTTTTCTGGCACACTTATGAAGCAAATCAGATATGCTTTCCCAGAAGTGCCCACAAAAAAAACCCAGAACCACCTTCACAAGAAATAATTAAGACATAGAAAGCACTGCAGAAAACAGTGGGAAAAAAAAAAAAACTTACTGAACTCCATACCATTTACCAAGAGAACAGCATTTGTGGTCAGCTCAAATTAGAAAGAACTTTCCCCCCCCGCTCCAAGATTTGCAAATATCACTGGTGACCCAACTACAGACTTGATAGAAGCCAGTGAACTCACAAAAGCAATAGGTTTAGTCTAAGTCCATGAGGCCCATGCAGCAAGCCTACCATAAGTATAAAATAAGAAATTATCTCAATAAATCATCTCCATAAATATCTCTCAGAGAAGGGTAGCGGAAATGAGCAGTACGATTGACACAGCTTTCAGTTTACTTCTGGTTTGCCGTAGCCTTTTGTCAGAAAACATGCATTCAACACAACAGCCAACAGCACAGGAAAGCATATTCATCTGCTAACCCTGGCAAATCTAAAGAGGAAACTTACAATTTGCAGATATCTGTAAAGTTGACAAAAGATGTTTTCTTGGTCCCTACTCTTACAACCTGTGGAGGCTTCATGACAAATTTTCGTTTTTCTCCAGCCACCATATCTGGGTTTTTTTCCCGCATGATGTTAAATACTCTATTGAGCAACTGCAAAAAAAAAAAAAAAAAGGGGGGGGGATTCACATCAACAGGAATAAATAGCTTGCATTTCTCAAATGAAGTACATCGCTTCTAAAAAAGCCAAACTCGAAACAGCGTTCACAATGAATATTAGACTGTCTTTGCCCCTTAGCATTTCCCCATATGCTTTTGAACACACACTTAAAAAGTATGTTCTGATAATGCAAAATATAAAAGCTCTTTCCCCAAGGGTTTATTTCATAATTTACAAGTACCTCAGCCTATTTGCAGAGGTGTTTTAACTATCACTAATACTGCCCTATATGAAAATAAACTGTGATAAAAGACGTGTTTCATTATTTTTCTGTTCATGAGCTTCTGACTACAAGTCCTTTAATTTTAAGTTAGAAACAGGACATACAAGCACAAGACCCTGCTCTACTGATACACATCAACATGGAAAATACTTTTATAAAGTCTTTTGAACATTACCTCATCATATGTGTAGTCCCTTTCTGAGCCTGCCCATGCAGGTCCTGACTGAAGGCTAAAAGAAATTCCATCATCTTTTTTGCTATCTTCATCCTCAAAAGCTGTAAAGAATGTTGTTTGGGATTCATTAAGGAGAAAAGAAACAGTCTTTAACCTCATGCTTACACCATTTCTAAAAGGTACATCAAAGAAGATTCCACTAAGATGTGGACACAAGTCTTCTCTTTTTGTCCGCCTGCAAGGGACACCAGCACTTATGGCAAATTTATACTATGTTTTATAGAACATTCTTCTGATAAGTAATATAGCAGTAAAGGTAACAAAGTGAATTTTTAAACAAAAAAGGCACTTGAACAGAACTTACTCACCTACAACATGGACTACATTTCACTTTAAACATCTCATTGGGCTAGTTTATACTTTTACCTTCATCCTTCTCCATTATCTCATCTTCATCTGGAAACTTCACATTCTTCTTTTTCTTCTTCTTATTGCCCAGCATGATATCAAGGTCATCTTCAGGTTCTACTGCCTCTGGCACATCTCCTTCAATTTTCAAGTCCTGCAAAGAAATAATAAGCCCGTAAGCTTACAGTATTAAACACAAATCTCCATTGCACAGCATTAGAAATAATACTAGTAGCACACTATACTAAATGAATACTAGTAACATCCACCACAATCCTGAAACATAACACATAAGAACAGAACCAAGTATGTTGAAGAGAGCACTGCACTACTACCATGAAGTAGGAGTAGATTTTATCTTCTGGTCTAACTTCTGGCTGGTCAAGAACAAGGTCATTGCTACACTTACCTAAGGGCATCAGCCATTTTAGGGCATACGGGAACAAAACACCCGACATGCCAGACAATAAGGTAAGGCAAAGCTGTGCTACCTGCAGCCAGTCCAATCTGTTATCACAATTCTGCACATGTGGAGAACACAGAGCAAGCATTTCGCCTGTCTGGGGCAAATCAGAGGGACATTTTCTTCCCCAAAAGGCAGAATCCAAAGAAGAGGTTTACACATAACGTAACATTTCTCTGTCCTCTTGCTCTCTGGGCTTGCCACTTATGCTGACATGTGATACAAAAACACAACTTGGAATAAAACTTGAGAAGAGTAAAAATATCCCATACACCTTCTGGAACACAGAACAGCAGCCAATCATTTCTAAAGAAAACACCAGAGCAAAAACAGATTTCTTAGCAGATATATACCCTCTATTTGGAGGGCTCGCCTTTAGAGGACTATTCTGTGCATGGCTTCTGACATCCATTTACTTCTCTCACCCCAAAAGACAATTAACCTCGATGCTAGTCAACCCACACTACAGATTGCAGGATTACTTGCTCATTGTGCAGATCAGTTAGATTTTTTTTCACTTCTGGACAAAAAGCCCTGCAGAAGCAACACGTTCAGCAGAACGTACTATGTATGAAAGACAGAGTGAAATGCAAGTCTCATATTAACTGCACTAAGACACAATGACAGACTTGAAACAACTCCTGCACCACCAATCCTGAGAAAATGAAAGCAAGAAAGTTTTCAGCCATAGACAAGATGGCCTAGTTATGTAAACAAACCTTTACACCTTCTTCTGCTTCATCTATATCAAATATCTTTTTTGTTTTTTTCTTCTTTTTCTTTTGATTGAAGAAGTTTAAATCATCCAGGTCATCTGTGGCATCTAAAAAACCAAAGGATTGCCAAAAGAAGTGTAACTGTAGAAACAGCTTAGACATTAAGGTTTCTAATTTACATCCAAATCTTCAAAACATTACAATAAGACTTAAGCAATGATCTGTAGCCCCCCCCAGATATCCTTCAGGTTTTAAACAGGTCAGTCCCCTCTACCCCCAGATACCTCAGTACCATTTTACAGTCTCTGCAACTTCTAACTGCATTTTCTTATTTTTTAAGTGCTTAATCTTTCTTTCTGCTGTACAAGAGAAACCAGCCACTTTTGTCATTATAGTAGAGATGCTTGAAAAAAGTGAAAACTGTAGGAGGAGGGTATACTTTCTTTGGTCTACTGCAGGAGCCAATTTTATCAACAAACTGGATTTAAGTTAACAGCATTCCCTGAATCAGGTCATCTTGAAATGACATCGGCCTCAATTTAAAAAGCAAGGTTATACACGCAATCGCAAGCTTACTTCCCGAGAGATTCCAAAGAACACTCTAGTTATCACATTCACAGTTGTCCAAAAACTAGAAACCCTTTCAACCATATTTCTGTTACTCACACTATTGCTTAACTGTTCCAACGAAAAGCAGCCGTAATTGTGGCATTATTGCAACAACTACATGTGGAAGATTTTAACTATCTCAGGGATTCTCTTTTCATCGTCTCACACAAAAAGACTCTGAGTCAGGAAAGTGGAATTCACATAAATCACTGGTAGCTTACTGGATGCCTGTGAACATGATTTCAAGCAGGAGGGAAATATGCCCTGCAAACAGGCAGCAGAGTATTACTCACAAGCCTCTAAACAAACTAGGGCCCCAGCATTATAGACTATGATGCCAAATTCTTGAAATGGGGCTTGCAGCCTCAAAATACAGAAGGACTACCTTTGAGAGTTTATCTACATGGATTCACTTTACCTTTCTTCCTGCTGTCTTCTTCGTCTGCTTCAACATCTTTGTCTTCTGTTGGCTCTGGTTCAACTTCTTTTGTTTCTGATTGCTGAGTCTCTTCTGCTTGTGTATCCCCTCCTTCCTCATCCAACATAAAGGGCTTCTTCTTTTTCTTCTTCTTCTTGCTCATAGTGGGATCGAAAATCATCTGTAAAAGTCAAGAGTTCCTTAGCAGCGTAATAAATCACCTACCATTTAATTTATAACACCCTTAAGGACTTAGTATTTATAACAACTTTAAGTTTCTCTCAACATTCCTTCAGTTACTCAAACTGTTCCTTGGCTTCAATCTCAGCTCGGGTTTTTCTGGATCTGTAACAACGTAACACAAGTTAGCTGACTCAAAACAGTGATTACACAAGGCTTCTTTAAAAACATCGCAGATCTTGTCCCAAGGCGTAACTGATGTGACCAACTACAAGAGAAGACTGCTTGACAGTTTAAAGCCTCCGCTACTTTTCCTACGATAGTCCAGGTTTCCTGCCATCTACACATTAGTTCAGCTGAAAATATATTAAAGCTCTGAATCTTTGACAGACTAGCTACCAGCTACTTCTCCATTTTATTATCACTTTGGGCTCAAATTTTTAGGTAAGACTATGCAAAGCAACCACTAACTACTCAGCATCAGAAAAAGATTTAAGCACACCTATACCACAGAGCCTGATTACATGTCAGTTACACTTTGTACTTCCATTTGTGACACATTAATTTCCAGATTTATTAAAAGGCAAGATTTACCAGCAATTCTCTTGACAAGAATGCTTTGGACTAGGGAGAAACCTAGAAGGGGCTGGTGATACAGCAAGACCTGTATCAGCTCTCAACACTATGAAATAGCAAAGGTCTCATCCTTTCCCCCGCCACAGGTGGGCAACTGAAGCTCAGAGACCAAGTGACTAAAAGCTGTTAATGAGTTGAGCCTGCGAAGCAGCTTAATTCCCCTAGTCTGACTGTGAAGAAGGCACTAACCCCATGACTCACTTTTAACCTATTCATCATCTACAGACCTGAGATCATTAACACACGAGCTCTTCAGTTCTCCAACAAAAGGAATGCCTCTTACTATTTTCACTTAAGATGAAAGTTTGACATCATAGCTATTGGTCAATTTTGTTCCATATATCTGGCCATATTTTCACAGCACAGTATGTATTTAATACATCAAAATTTTAGACACTTAATGAGACTCTTCCTCCAGTTTTTCTTATCTAGTAATGGAAGAGTATTCTCCTAGACAGTTAAAATTCAGCACCATGAATACCCCCACTCCTGAAAATGCCACTTCATCAAAGAAGCAGTTCTCCAACTTCTTGTTTCGTTACACCCTGCAAGTTTGGAGGTCATGTCACCCCCCCCACCCCGAAGCAATCTTTTCCTCATGCTTCTCATTCTCCTACAGATGATATTCTTGTGATTTTCTTCCTATTTTCTGGAACTTACATGTTTCATAAAGGCTCTACTGAAAGGCAGTAAACTGCACATATGGGTGTCTGAAGCACAGCATCACAGAAGCGTCCACATATATGGGACACTGAAGCTTGACGCTTTCAAACTGCTGAAGTGTGTCTTTAGCTGTACACCCTGCACTAAAATGCTTTTCAAAAAAGTTCTGTCAGAGGGCTTCCCTCTAATGCTTAGATATGTGTATGAATCATGCACAGTAATCAAAGAATGTGAACAGCCAGTTACACTGTCTGCTGGCTTCCCCTTGTAACCTCCACAGCCTGCTGAAACAGAAGGAAAGCTGCCTGCATAGGCAAGAGTCCACAGCTTTGGGAACATGGACACGAACAGCATTTTCAAGATCATGACTCATTTCAATGAGGAAGCTTTGCAAGACTCTGAAGAGGTCTGTATCTTCTCAGATGATTAAGCAGACATAAGCGTATGCTTAGATCGGGCGTAATAATTTCTAAGAAGAAACCAGCCCACCTGCCTCAAATCACTCTTCTCTTTGTGAAGAAAAAGGCATCTTTTATCCTGAACCACCATAAAGCATATCTTGTATCTACAAGAGACAGAATGTGTCTTCAGTAGTAGCACACTAAACCGCAGTTAGCACACAAGGACAACTTCTGGACGCAGGAGACTGTTTTTTCAGCATTAAAACTATGTAGCTGGCCTTGAACAGGGCACTGCTCTGAAGGTCCACTCCATCCAGTCAGGTCAAGCCAAGCTTCTGCAAACCTAAGACCTAGTCATAACACGCTAACTGCTCTCAGGATACTAACACAAGAGTTCCACAACCTGAGGAGGAGGTCTGTGCCCAAGATATTTTGTTCAAGAGCTTCAACGAAAACTAAGCCCGAGTCTTAGGTCACACACGCTTTAACAAATCACGAATGAACTGACCAGCCTGATAATCAGGCTATTCTGTGTTTTGCCTTTCTGAGCTAGACATTTCAGGAATTTCTTCATTCCTTTTCTCTAGTCAGTATGTTTGATTAGTCGAAGCATTATGACACCATTTAAGCACTGAAAAACTCTACGAAGTTGCAGGCCCTTTACTGAAGGGACTGTAGTCCCCAGCCCAGATACACCAAACCCTATACTTTTCCTGTGTAGAAATGGTTATAAATTTCCATCCTGTTTCTGCTCTCGGAGCCAAATTCCCATGTGGGGTTTTCTCTTCTGTAGACCACAGAGTTTTTTTTCTCACATCCAGCTCCATATATCTACTCCAAAATCCCAACTTACAGATAGTGAGAAAGTGAAAGAACAGAGGGTAAAAAAAAACCCCAAGAAGAATCAAAGCTTCATAGTCCAAATGCAACTCTCAAGACAGACCCCAACATTACCTTAAACTGCTGTGACAGTGACAAATGGTGGGCATTCTAACAGAGGTCACAAATTAATCCCATTTCATTATTTTGAATAAACACAGGCATGTCTACAAAGCAGACAGCAACTCTGCACTAGTAAGGTTAGCGCAGGTATCCTTACACTGGGCTGAATTGATGTCTACAATGCAGTGCAAAATTAAGACCAATTTGCACCTAAACCCTCCGGCTGCTCAAGAGCTTCATAAACTACAGGGCCAGAAGAACTTTTAGGTATCTAGCAGGATTATATATATATAGTAGGACTTTTAATAAAGCAAATAGACATTAATTGGCTGCTTCCCCTTGCAAAGAGTGCCTGTGTTGCCTCGGCTGTGCCACACTTCTGGGCAGCATTCAGACAGCAGATGTTTCTACCAAGGAGTTTCATTTTGTACACAGCTCTGAAAATTTTAAGCTACAGCCCAATGCAACAAAACAAAGTCTTCTAACATCTACACCAGTTCAAGGTGCAAATCCGTCTTCACCCTCCTCAACTTTATAGGATCATCAGCTTCAAAAAGTTTCACCAACTTAACGTCAATAACAAACTATTTGGCTCCTAACAACCAGATACACAGAAGTGCTGGAAGGCACGTGCGCTCACTCACTCTCACACGTACACTAGCCAGAAGAGCCAACAGTGACAGTTCAACTGTGATATCTGCTACCATTTTTATTCTCTGTCAGTCTGCTACATAAGCAATCCAGAGATGTAACTTTACTATACTAGATATTCCTGGTATCACCTCAACGTCAGAACAAACGCATTATGCAAGAAAAATAGTTTTACTGACACTTAAACTAAATCCAAACTGGGAAATTCCAGATGAACAGCTCTGTGGTCCTATGATCACCTGAGACAGAAAGCATCTGATGCAAGGATTCCTGGATCCTAATTTCTGGAACCAAAGTACAAGCTAGACATTAGAACTGCAGTTCCAGGGACATAAATAGGCATAAAAATGCAGTATATTCATTCTAGATACTAAAGTAGCCGAATAAGTCAGTCTCAGCTACCATTAAAATAACTAGTAATTACACTAGTTCTCCTTTATTACGTAGGACAAATTATGACTTGCCTGTCTCCAAGGCTAGAGTGATCACGTTGCTCAGAGAAGAAAAAAAGCCACACTGGTATTTTAAACAACGCCAGAAAGAAGATACAAGACCAAAATCAGCCATCTCATGGATTCAGGCAGTGCAGGTTCCCACAGGCTAACACAGTCATCCATCAGCATGCTTATAACCTCACGCATGGAAAGCTTTCCTTTTTCCCTTGACAGCAACTGAAAGGAGGTTAGTAAAGGTGCCAACACATGGCATCTACAACGCTTGAAAAATTTCTCAAGAGACAGCTGTATCTACTTCCCTGGAAGTGTGCCTGAGCAAACACCATGGGATCCGGAAAACCTGAAGTTATTGCTTGTTAAGATGTAGCTATTTAGCTCTCGGGGTTAAAAGACAAGATATTAAAGCTCCAGAAAGAGAGAGCGGTCAGTAAACTGACTAAACGCTAAATATCGCTCGAAGAGCACGAAACACGACGGAGCAGAGG